AGTATTCGCGAATAAATGGTTCGAACTATTCGAAGGCTTATCCGCGAAGATAGGTTGATATAAAGACGACTTTATCATCCTCGTTCACGATTTAGTGATTCATGCGAAGCTATATCTCTATCTATATAAGGAAGCTGCGAAGCTTAGATCGGCTTCCTTTAAAGAACTCCGGTTTCGGGAGTTTCATAGATCTATAAGATTATCTAGCCTCTAAGGTAGTAATATACTCCTAGAGTTAGGTAACCATATCCATTAGCTCCTTAGGAGACACCGGAGGTCTCTCTAAGGAGGATAACACGTTACTACGGGTGCTATCGTTACCTACCATAATAACTTTGCTTCACGGTTCAAAGATAGGGCGATCAATGTGTTACGCGTAGCCGACTAGTTACTACGAGTTAGAAGGTCTACGGGTTATACTTACCTAGTTCCAACTACTAATTCTAAGAGTATCTCTTAATCGTACCGTTACTTCGCAAAGCCTTACTGCGGAATAGATCCTGTTAAGTATCTTATAGAATATACCAGAAGTGCGCGCTAAGTAAGTCAATCACTAAGTGTTACCACAGAGTGAATCCCCTACTTATAGGTTAGGTTATCTTAAAGGTGAACTATAAAGTGTAAAGTACTAGAGGTAGTAACTAAGTAATAATGTGTAAATTAATCGCGAAGAACTAAATATATAATAGTAAACGAGTGTCCTTATATATCCAGTCCTTCCTATCAGGCGATAAGCCGGAACTCATCACTCGATGCTATCCGGACTCATTAGTAGATGAGTCGAGCTTATCACTCGATGAGTCGTTACGTGATTGCTTATTTAGGTAGTTCGTTACGCCAGACAATTTCTAGTATATATATAGCTATACACATAGGATATTGTCCGCCCCAAGGACACGGTGTCCTTAATCACCCTAATCGATCACTGATCGTGAGCGTGTAAAATGCCCTTTTTACACGGACCCACTTTACTCCTGGGAGCACCTTTCTACGTGATCTTGCTCCTGGGAAGCATATATATAATGCTTCTCATTGGTTGCACGTGACTTCTATAGGTGTCGTCCTTCTTACGGGTTTGGTTGGCTGTCGTTATCCCCCGCGGGTTTCTGACGGTCTGCCTCGTAACATAGACCCTATATCTTTATTTCTCTCTCTAGTAGGGATAAAGACTTACTTTTATATATTAATTACTATATAAAATAATATCGAAATCTATATAGATCTTAATAATAGAGCTAAGATTAATCTTATTAGCTTCGAATTCGCTAAAACTTATAAGTTCTCATAAGTGGTATGAATAGAACTAATTATCTATACTATTAATAATCGCTTAATCCTAATATATAAAATTTAGAGTATTCTAACAATCGCTACTAATTTACGGGATACTATATACTAATTTACTTATTCTTATATAGCGATTAACTAAGATCCTTAGCTATTTAGAAGCCTAATACTTCTTTTTATAATAATCCTTACCGATCTTAATATATATCTTACTAGATATAGCGGTCTTTGGTAATTTAATATATCTTCTATTTATATCTTATTAGCGAAGAAATTCGCGAAGTAGATTAGGAACTATATATATATCTTTACTATAATATATCTATCTAAAGAAATATAGCCACCAATTAATAAAGATACTACCGAAGAATTACCGAATCTATCAGCCTATATAGGTATGTGGATGTATATACTTATATATGCTTTGTTAAGATATAACGGACCTACTTTTCTTACCCCTTATTAGATGACCTAACCTCCTTATTGGACGAATAAGCTCCTTCCGATTAATTTTACCTCTAGAAAAAACCCTCTATATACCCCTCTTTAATAGAGATATAACTATGGCCTAATTAGCTATCTAACATAGGATCCTAACGTCCTATCTATATATTTCTATCCTATATTAAGATCTATTAGATTATTAGATCTCTACCCTATTCCCTTACTATCTAAATCTCTGTAAATCGTGTATTTAAACGCTCGTTTACACCACTATTTAGCCAGTAGTTTAATCGACTTTATTATTCTTAAGACCTTCTTTCCCTTCCTAGATAGTAGGATCCTATGACTAAGAGGAAGCTACTACCTAGTCCCCTTTCGTCCTATATAGATTAGCCCCCGATACACTAGAATCTGATAAGATCCGACTAAGTAGTCTCCAAAAAAGAGCTATAAATAACCTTATTTATACTATAAGATATAAATAACCTCCTAAAAGGGTACTAAAAGAGTAAAAAATACTAAAAGATTCTATAGCGAAAAGATAGTAATATCTAGATCTTAATCTCTAGGAAAATAGGGAAGTCCTTTATTATTAAGATAGCTATCTTATTTCTATTTATAGAGATATTACTATTATTATTATTAGAATCTAGATTATCTTAAATATCGCGAATTATTCTCGAAATCTTACTAAAAAAAATCCGTTTCGCTAGGATTTAGATAATATATCTTTTATCTCTAGGATAAAGATAAAGGAGCCGTTTAGAAAAGCGGTCCGCTTTCTACTTTAGGGTATTAAGAGAACTAGGGATAATAATAAAAAAGATAGTATAATAACTAAAAAGAAATATATTATAATTAGCTTAGATTATCTACCGAAACACTAGTTAATATATATTAGAGCGAAAATAAAAAAGATATATCTTAACCTAGGTCTTATTCTCGATTAGCGAATACTCTTTATAATAAGTCTACTCCGAAATATTAAAGACGTAATATACTTCCTATATTAATTCGGCGATATTTAGATAGATTTCTATAGGATATAGCTAATCTATAAAATTTCTAGGATTACTAGGATCTATCTACCCTATCTAAAATAGTTCGTGCGTCTATATAAAGATAAGGGCTAAATTATAGTTATCTCCCGCTATAGTAATTAAAATCTATAGCCGTTAGTTTTATTTTCTTTAGAGGGATTAGCGAAACCTACCGAAATATATAGAGTATTATAGTTAGAATACTATTAATATATTACTAAGGCTTTAGTATCGCGGATATACTTAATCTAGATAGGCTAATCATTATTAGTAGGATCCTATTTTATTAACGCGGTATAGAGATAGTATATATATTAAAGAATTACTATAATAATAGGATTCTCTAGAAGGGGCTAAAGTATATAGATTCGGGGAGATATCGTAGGATCTTCGGTAGGATATAGATATAAAGTTTAGGTCGAAAAGACGCGTTATTATATAGAAAAATAGCGAGCGAGAAAGGTAGAAGAAGAAGGGATCGAGAATTAGAAGAGAGAAGAAGCGTTACTAATACCAATAAAGGAAATATACTACCTTTATTCGCTCACCTAATATTTACTACGTTTACTATTATATTTATTTCTATTTTAGCCTATACGTCCCTCTCGGGCGTTTATTTACCCTTTTATATATTATTTTTCTCTAAAGGATAAGAGAGCCCTTAGAGGGGGGATAATTATTATAATATTTAGTAAGGCTATTTATATATCAATATTAAAGCCTTAGACACATATAGACCGAGGATTCTACTAAGGCGGTGGCTAACCTGCGGTTAACCAGTGACCCCTCGGTAGCGATTCGAGATAGCTATACTATATATAGCCTACGTCTATTACTATACTATATTTTAGCTATACGGTAGCCTTTCACTATAGTTTCCCCCTCGATTCGTGTTTAATTATTATTTACACTAAAACTATTATATTTAAATTAATGCTTAAGGAAGTGGGATTTCTCTTCCTTAAGAAACAGTCTTTATGATAATTTGACTTAGTGCTTCACTCTCCTACTTAGTTAATAGGCTATCTACCCTATAAGTAGTATACCCTTAATAAAAGGGGTGTAGCTCTAGCACTACTGTCAGCCTGTGTAGGTGTGTGGGTGTATCTCCCTGTGTGTGTGTGTGCTTACGTGTTGCCTGACCGGCCTGGCTGGACCATTGTTTTTCCCCCGGAGAAAACCCCTCTGCATACCCCTCTTCAACAGAGATACCAACCATGGCCTAATTGGCTATTGACTAAGGATCCTGACGTCCTTTCTACACATTCCCATCCTATATTGAGATCTATCAGATTATTAGATCTCTGCCCTATTTCCTTGCTGCCTAAACCACTGCAAATCGTGTATTTAAACGCTCGTTTACACTACTGTTTAGCCAGCAGTTCAATCGACTTTATTGTTCTCAAGACCTTCTTTCCCTTCCTAGACAGTAGGATCCTATGACCAAGAGGAAGCTACTGCCTAGTCCCTTTTCGTCCTATGTGGATCAGCCCCGATACACTAGGATCTGTCAACTACCCCTTAGTTATGGCATTTCGGTCGTCGTAACACCGAGTACTAGCACCATTCCTAGGGTAGTTCAACCTGCCTCAGCACATTCGTTTTCTCTTCGATCAATTAACCTTTGCATTAAATTAGGTTCCACGCAGTCCTATTGACGATCTCACTCGCCTACGCAGCCACAGTCAATAAGCCTTGGGGTGATCTTTGGCCCCTTTAACCCGACCCATAGGGTCCGCCTGTTTCCTAAACCCAGTTCAGGATGAGTTGGCGATCGGTCATGTGATCAAACAGGCCATATCTCAATCTCACACTCTTGCTTCTTCCACCATCCACCAACACAGAAACGTTCTCTACCTATTTCCGAGGGGCATAATTTCGCGCTTTGTACGTCTTCACGGCTCTCTATGCTATGTGCTTGTAGCGCTATCACTCAAGCACGAACAACGGGGCTGGTCAAGATACCTCCACCAATCGTCAGACCCAGCAAACCCGTTGCTCATTTTAATCGTTTCTCCGTGAAAGAGCAGTGCCTCCTAGACCTTGTCTTACTAAGGATGTGACTTATCTAAGAATAAGACAACAACGACTATTTCCTCGACTCGGGAGTCGCGAGTGTGATGTGACAATCGAGACTCTATTTCAAGTCCCCTTGCGGCGCCCACTTCTAAGGTTGCTCTCACCTGAATAATATGGAGCTTCTGCATTTACCAAACGAGCTTCTAACGCATGTCGTTGGATATACCTTGCCAGACGACTTTGAGAGTCTTGTATGAACTTGCAAGCGATTTCATGCTCTATGTACTATGTTTCTTACGTACCACAACAGACTGCGCTGGCATTTCCGGAAGTTCCACTACTACAAGTCAAAAGAGGTGGTGAAGAGCAGACTTCCTATACTCCAAATCCCCGATGCAATCAGCTCAGCGTTCAACTTAATTGCGAGAATCGCTGTGGAGCCTGTTGTAGCGCGCTACATTCAAGAGGCGGACTTTAAAAAGGACAGTGAAATATCGACGGGCAAACCGCATCATTTTGTGACTGACGGATCTCATGATGAAGCTATGATGCGACTGCTTGCCGGTTCTGCTGACCTAAAACAAGCAGGTTTGGAATGGAGGGAATACTGGACTGTAATTCAGGAAGACCTCAACGATGGTCGTTTTTCACAACATGCTGCAGCGTTTGCTTTGACTCTGCTTCCGAATGTCAAGTTTCTCGGCCTGCCTTAGTGGTAGAAGCCACAAGTTGCAGCAGACAAACTTATCAATACCCTGATTTTGAAAGCTCGAAATAAACCTAGTTGCAGCATCTGCCTTGCTCAAGTCACGAGCTTGGTAGGCAATGGCTGTGCAGACGGCAGATTCAATCTAGATTGGGCAGCTTCTTTTCTGACCTTACCACAGGTTCAATATTTTAGAGTCACATTGTGTAAAGGTGGCAGCGATAGAAATGCTGCGCTAAAATACGAAGCGCCTGAATCGTGTTCATGCTTCCATTGATGAGATTGAAATTGCGCGTTTTCTTCAGAACACCCCGCGTCTTAAGACGTTCAAGTTTTGGCATTCAGCGGAAGATATTGATCCTACGCAAGGCTGGGATCTTTGCCAGTTCGTCACGGTAATTGAGTATAAAGTCGCAGACAACCCCGGGGACCTTTCTATACTCCTCGACGACGAGCCTCATACCACTGTCATTCCTGGGAGAGCATCGTTATGTGGTTTCAAAAGCCTAGAAAGACTCCAGCTTCCCCTCGAAATTGTATCATGCAATCTCATGGCCGCTGCTTCAGACTCTCTCGATTCACTGATCCAGGATGTTTTATACCGGCGTCGGCCACACATCTCTCTTTTGTGTCCTATGGGACGGATGAAGAGGCAAAGGCTCTGGCGATCACCTTTCATGGCCTTCCCGCTGTGAAGGCTCAGGCACCCTCTCTCAAAGAGATCCCCCTGACATTGCCTGCAGAGGCAATTGAGCTATATAGGGATCACTTTGCAAGGGTTTTCGAGGAGATCGAAAAGGCGGGCGTGGTTTTTAAGGAGGAACACTGGATTCAATCAGTTACTTGGGATGACGAGGAGGACTAATCATACTAAAGATCCGTACATGATACTGAAGTACGCCCTTGGTAGGGCTGGAAAAGAAGCATGGCCGTCCCTTTTTCCACCATATATGGTGATATAGGGTGAGGCGAGTGGAAACTGACGGACGGCTCCAATCACGGTAAAGACACCACAGCGAACAAGACTGATTCACAAATCCCCTAAATCTCAAGTTTATCCAAGTACAGTATGGATTGTCTGGTCACGTGCCATGCTGATAAGACATCGATAAGGAACAATCGATAACAGATATCCGATAAGGAATGCGATAAGGACACCCAAAATCTTTTATCTTTTTTCTCCGTAGAGAGACATCACTACCCTCACCGCCACCTCCTCCTCCTCTGACAGCCCCCTTGTCAGCAACGTCACGATGGGTGTCCAGAAGAAGACCCGCAAATTTGCAGTAGCAAAGCGCACCATTCAGCTTCGTGATAGTCGTCTGTCAGTCATCCTCGCTTACACGCCTCAAGCGCCTCAAGGCTCATCGTACTCACTAAGGTTTAGGAAGGCGAATGAAAAAACGGACAAGAACGATAAAGCCGGTAACTCTGGCAAGGATGAAGCGTGAGTCAAAATGTCCTCGGGGTAGTTCAAGCGATGATGAATGCTAATGGAGATGCCGACGGTTTCAGACCGCAAGCTCCGTCGTCCCTCTTTTTCCAATACAACACCGCACTCTCCCCACCCTATTCAGTGCTAGTCGACACCAACTTTATCTCTCACACTATTCAGCACAAACTGGAGGTCATTCCGACCATGATGGATTGCCTATATGCCAAGTGTATTCCCATCATCACCGATTGTGTCTTGGCAGAGTTGGAGAAACTAGGTCAAAAATACCGTCTGGCCTTGCGTGTGGCTAAAGACCCACGATTTGAGCGAATCAAATGCGACCACAAGGGAACGTACGCGGATGACTGTCTGGTTGATCGTGTCATTAAGCATCGTGTCTATATCGTTGCCACTAACGATCGTGACCTCAAACGACGTATTCGGTAAGCCTTTCCCTCCTTGACGCCTGCTTCGCTGTTCAAGTTTTTCTGATACCTATTTTAGCAAAATCCCTGGTGCACCGATCATGAGCGTCGCTCGTGGAAAATACGTCATTGAACGACTCCCCGATGCCCCCGAAAAATGATGATTTGTGCCGTATGCCAACTTACCTCTCCTGTCGAAGTTGATTCCCATACCTCATCGCAGTGGCCCTGGATGGACATTGTTGAGCATTTCATAACAGTATGCCAATATTTTCAGCCGGGTTGAGCGAATGATCAGCCCTCCCATCTCTCCAGCTGGCGGATTCTAGGCTCGCAGCGACATCGTGAAATCTAGCACATTTGCGCTCCGGGTTGGTGGTCTGCACGACGCTGATCGCCTTCACTTTATTCCCTCCATTACACATGGTTCCAAAATGGCTTTACGAAAGTCTCAAGTATTTACTTTTTGCCTTGGATTTTGGGGTTTCCGTTGTCTTAGCGATGTTTTTCTTCAATAGGTTTTGTTCGGGTGATACCCTAAAAAAGGGGTCTTGTGTATATATAGAAATCCGAGTACATGGAATTGGTTATGTACGCCATCGGAGCCGAGCACCTCATTGAATTATTCATGCCAGCCCACAGATTTCAACCGTAGGTTGTGACAAGTTGGTAAACCAAGCGATTCGCAAGCCCGCTACTGCTCGAGAATTGTCGACTAATGTCTTGACGCGATGGTAAAAGATTGTGTAAAGGTGGTAGCTTGCCGAGAATGAGCTTGTTCGAACCTGTCAGGTTATCATCCGGTAATAATCGTAAAAGTTGCTGTAGCACCCGGAGCGAATATAAGACGGCGTGAATTTGGGCAAGAAAGTGGACGTCTGTCCATTCTGTTTTTTGTCCAGCGAATCCTTTTGTCAGGTATCGCTCTAATTGCACAGCACTGGGAAACGAGGTCTGGCTAGAGGCATCGCAATAGATCTCGGCCACTGCGAACATCACCCAGAAGGTTGACGGATCGTCAGCCCCGAAGACACTTTGGGCTAGATCGAGGCGTTTCTGGACCGTGGATAGATCTGAAATCAGGGTCTTTGAACCGCATAGCGTAATCTGCTCGGCAACAATTCGGGTCCCTCGACGGACGAATTCGCAGACGGTGGTAAACTGCCTCGCGGGAGGATAAGCCTGGTTCAGGAGAGAATAGGCCAGGGCCCTATAGAAGCGACCAAATTCCCAGGCACATTTCCGGGAATGGTCCTCGAAAAGAATTCCAAGGTACACATGTGGTTGATCGGCTTCACAAAAGACATCGGGGAGCTCGTATTGCCAGAACAGCTCCGATACTCGAGGGTCCAAGTTCTGGATGTATACACGGTCTTGAACAGCCGAGGAACCATAGGACCCCGGCTGGTATTCACGAAGAAATTGACGATATTGTTCAGAGCCATCCGTCATCCCTTGGCTGTCCTTGGACCGGCGCAGAAGTTCCGAGAAACCAAGATGTGGGTTCTCGTTCAATTCGTAGGCGAAACGCGGGATATTTTTTATACCTAGCCGAAGGGCGAGATCATTGGGATGCAATCTCATAGCTTTGATTCTGGCATTGGCTTTATCTTTGGTGTCCTCGACCAGTTGCACGGTGTTCAGAAATACAACTGCGCCGTCCGGCCCGAGGTCATGGACTATCAGGTCTGAGTCGTTCGTGAGAATGGCCGAACCAGTGAGCTTTGACACCAGGGCACATTCGACATCCGCCTCCCCTGGAACCATGACCGCGATCTCCGCCCAGGGATAATCCCCGTCTGGTAGATGACTCGGATCACATTCGATCTCTCGAAGAATGTGCTCTCTATTCCACCGAGTCCGGAGGTCCTCAAAGACCGCAGAGACCATGAAAGGATTCTCGGGGAGGTTCCTCCAACGTGCAGGGAGATTTCGACCCTGCCATAGCTGCGTCGGCGGGAGGACAATCTCCTCCCGCCATTCGTTGCTTGAGGTGGGAGCCCTCCGGCGAGACAATTCCAGTCGATGCCTGGACTTTTCAATTCGTGCCCGTCGTGTTTCCCTTTTGGAGACAGGCAGAGCTCCATCAAAGCAGATTTTATGTCTTTCGTACTGATCAGCATGGGGAACTGTGAAAGGAAGAAATGATCAAGACAATCGGGATGGTGTACATTTCGATGCCCCGGCGGGTCAATTCCAAAAGGCAGGTCACTACCGCCCGGCTCACCTCGTTGCAGGTCGGTTGCAGGTCAAGCACGTCATGTACAGGGTTCATCCAGGCGAGCAGTCGGTAGTAGACATGATATACCAGGCTTGGACCGTCGATGACCACAGACCGCACACGCGGAGCTTCATCTTGCTTCTGGTCATCGGCGTCCCCACCAAGGAAGACCGAATCAGCGTAGGGGATAAGATGCTTGGTTAGGTACGGGATTCCCATGTCCACCAAAGTATCACTAGGCAAGATGCGCGATACGAATGGCGAGGAGTATTGATCTGTGGATATGATGAATAAATGGATAAACCGGGAGGGGGAGAATGGGGACGGGCCAAGTGGATTTACGGCCGCAGAATTTGGACGTCTGAAGGGAAGTGGTGGTACCCACCATCCCACCATCACTTTCTTTACTTTACTAGAGATCACGATGTATTCGTGTTTGAGGCAAAGGACAATCTCACAGCAATGATCGTTACTAGTATTCCATCAGTGTAATATTTATAATGACCGAGGTCAAAAAGTAGATGTACTATGTTCCTAATTTACACGCCATTTGATTTATAGACATCGTAGACAAATCTCCAAGATCGAAAGGTCTACTTTTGGGTCTGCTGCATTAGCGAGCAGATCGGAGGAATCCTGCAACACCCCGACAATATCCAACAAGGCTAGCCAAGCGCTCGCCTTCTTGCTGCTGTTCGCGAGCCCATGAGGTCAGAGCCTCGCGCAGGAGTCGATACTCAGGCTCGTCTCGATGGGAGCAAAGCCCCACCGTATCGGCGTGGATCTTCAAAAGCACCGCCATCCAGGCGTTGACCAGCTCGAAATCTCTTCGCAGCTTGAGACGCGCAGTGAGAGCCTGGACAAAGGTTGCCAACTCTGAAAAGCCATTGCGTACCCGAGGGTCCAGAGAACGAATCTCCAGATCAGCCCGGGCGGGAGAGAGAGAGATCAGATGCTCTATAAGCGGGTCGAATGTACCGTAGAGATACCCAGACTCAAGCAACCGGGTGATAGGAGACTCGGACGAGCCCAGGGCACCGGACTGGATTTTGGAGATTCGGGATCTTTCGGCCGCGGCATTTTGTGTGAGGGCTGCCAACTCTGCTGCATCGGCTGCAGCGGTTTCTTTGGCAGATTGCGAATTACCAGAGCCGAGAAGGGAGGGAAGGAAGAATGGTGCTTTCTCGGGAGCCTTTGGTGCTTCCTTCGGGCGATTGCGTTCCTACAAATTGTTAGTCAACGACGATCTCAATGGGCCACCCGGGGGGAGTCAGGATCGAGGAGTAGGAGAATGGAAAAAGACATACACGAATAGAGTCCAAGTGGAGCAGTGCTTGCCATCGGCTTTTGGGAACCAGACTGAGAGTGACCATGTCCTTCTGGAGCTGGTCGGTAACCAACACCGGTCCATCTGCCTCGTCCACTTCCGGTGCATCCACGAACGCCGCTTCAACAAGTCCTGCGCCGCTTTCACCGGATGAAGTGGGTACGCCAACATCCTCAATGACATCCTCATCCAAATTCTTGGTGGAGATAGGCATGAACAGACTGCGATTGCTCCAGAGGCTAATTCCGATGCTTCCAGCATGGGCTGTGGCAAGGAACTCGCCCGTCGAGGACATTGCCAGCGAGACGCAAGTACTAGACACGCGGAAGATATCTATAAGATGTCCCGTAGGCAGGTCCCATACCCGAATCACGGAATCCATCGAGGCGGCCACGATCCATCGCCCATCATTGGAAAAGATGAAATCATTGACTTGACCCACGCATCCCCAGAACTCACGAACAAGCTTTCGGGTTTCAAGATCCACCACGCGGATAGAAATGTCGTCACAGCTAAAAGCGACCAACTCACTGGTCTTGCTAAATCGGAGCCCCGTGATCGCTGCCATGGGGTGCCAGTCTAGCTGGTCGATCAAGGTGCCTTTGAGAAGATCCCAGAACTAAACAAGTGAGAAAGCAAGTCAGCCAAACCCAACGACGGGAGCGAAAGGAAGGTAGTATGGAAGAACGCACCTTGACCTTGCCATCCAGGCCACAACTAATCACCGTCCGATTCAAGTTATCGACCATGAGGCCCGTGACGGCCTTGGTATGCTTCGCCGCCGAGTGGTCTACGGATTGCAACTTGGCATTCCGGGACTTGGGCAAGCGCGGAGGGAAACTCTGGCGATGAAGACCCGACTGCATATTGAACATGTCGATAGCACCCCCAGCCGATCCGATGACTGCAAAAGTGCCACATTGGGACATAGCAACGCTCTAGGAAATGCCATCCTGCGGTTAGTGAAATCTGTTCCCGCCCGAAACGATAGAAGAGAGTAACAACTGCGTACCTTGACTTCTGTACCATCACTGGTCGCAAACGCCCAGCGTCCCGCCTTCTTTTTGCCCCAGAACCAGGTGCGAGCATGTTTGTCGCCCCGATGACCGGTAACGACGCTCTCCCAGCCGGTGGCATTGGAGGCATCCGTGCTGCCAAATTTGGGGTTAGACCATACCGGGCCCGAGGTAGAGACACCCATCCCACCGTCGCGGTTGAGCGAGCTAGCGATGCAAGTGATTTCAGGCGCCTTCAGCGACTCGGCCGAGGTCGCGTTGGACTGGTCGGACGGACCCATCTTCTTGGCCTTGCGCTCCAAGTTGCCCTGGGACATTTCTGCGTTCTGACTGTCTTTCCGAAGACTGAGTCCCCACATACTACAGTCTTTACTGGCACTGAGAAGCCATTTGCCACCGGAATCAGAACCATCCGAAGATGCTGGGAGGAAGTCGAGGGTGTTAACGGCAGCTGAGTGACCAGCGCGGGAGTGTAGCGGCCGTGGGATGGGTGAGAACGGAGTTTCGTCGAAGATCCAAGTCTTCAAAGCATTATCATCACCAGATGAGACCAGAACGGGTTGCCCATCCAAGAACTCGACTCGATTCACACCCGTCGCCGCCTCGGTTTTCGATACTCGGTGAGCTCCACGAAGGATGCCGGCCACGCGACCACCGTTGTTCAGATCCCACATCGTGATGTCTCCAGTTCCGCTGGCGGCCGTAGCCATAACACCGGCCATCCGGCCATCGTGGCCCGCGCCGAGCCCATCGCTTCGGAATGAGATCGAAGTGACTGGGGCAGCTCGAGCGGCGGCCGTTCTCAGCGCCAAGACCAATTCTCCAGAGTCCACATTCTGGATGGCCAAGGAGCCATCCTTGTGGGCAATGGCAAGAAGAGACAGGGCCGGAGTTGGCTGCATGGCTGTCACAGGTCCCGTCTGCGATGAAGCGGACGGTGGCTGCAGAGTATGGAGAAGCTTTCCGCTGCGCAGGTTCCAAATATCGACGGCACCGTCGTTCCGGCCAACGAAGACCTTGTTGAGATAGGTGGGCATGTTACACATAATGCCGGAGTAGATCCGATCTCCCGACGCGCCCGCACTCGAGCGGGGTCGCAGACTCGCATAATGCTCGTAAGTTCCCGTTTTCCAGACCTCCAGACCACCTGCCCAGCAGCCAACTACCCAGGATCCGAAGACTGCGAGCCGCTCAATGGGCGCGTCGAGTCCAGGGCTATCTAGAGACGCCACGCGCTTGCCGCGCTTGAAAACCCAGATACCACCGGGAGACCGGGGCCGGAGGTGGCCCCAGGCCGCAAAGACCTTGTCTTGCCAGGCATACGTGGCTGTGATAGAATCCGGGGTTTGCGGTCGAGTCAAAAAGATGAGATTCAGGCCTTTGCGCAGGTCGTAGGTCTGCAGGGATTGGCCGACGGAGGTGGTGATTTGAAAGGTGGATTTGCCTAGTCGCACATAGGTAAAGGGAACTGACGTTGGCGACACGAGACCTAGTGTCTGTGACAATCGTAAGAAGAGGACTGAGTCAGTCTACAAAGAACAATCCAGGAATTGAAGCCAAAGAGAGCCAGCACAGAAACGTACCCGAAACGGCGCGAAGATTTTAGAGCCTCCTCGGGATAATGCACGAGGTGCCTGGTCAATGACCGTCTTTTGCCTCTTTGCCAAAGGCAAATCGAACGTGTCGTTTGCCAAAGCCGGCATGATGTTGGTTATTTGATGCTGTGGTGATCCTCTTGTCTATTTTTTTGGAGGAGGGTTTTTTTTCTGCGGAGCTTGGGCCACACCGCCTTCCGTCGTGATCAGCAGTAAATCTTTGGAATTAACTCCATAATCTTCCGTACGAGAGAGGAAAGTACAGTACATGTGGTGAGCTGCTTTGAATGCAATAAAAGTGTTTAATAGAATTGTAATTTCGGTCGAGTTTTTTTTTCTTGCAAGTACTGTTTTTAATATCATATTATTCGAGGATGCTAGTCACAACTCGATAAAACGTTGCCAAAAACCCTCGTTCAAAGAGGAAGAGGCGTATTACGGGCCCCCTCTAAGAAAAAGCAAGTGTACTTCGTATCTTTCGCAAGTTGTATGTAGTAGCCTTAGTGCAAGTCTTATTTACTTTATGTGGACCTAGCGTATTATACGCTTCTCCGACCTATATAGTTTCTCCCCAATGAACGATACTGCCAAAAGACATCCCTCTGTCAACGCCAACCTTAAGCCGATGGGCGAAATCATGGCCGAGACACTGCGGGAGTCTCCGCTTCCAGTGATTGCATCCGGAGAACCACAAAAAGCCCGGGCCAGAAGATCCCAGCAAACGCCTAGAAACCTTCGGCTCAACCTGTCCCCAGCCATGAACCGGAAATCTTTCTAGCCAGGACCATGTCTTGAGTCAACCTCTCCATTCACTCTCAGACTCATTAGTCTCGGCATAGTTCTCTGATTCACTCGTTCAATCTCCCTCCGAATCTCAATTCGATCTCCGATTCCCACCCCACCCTCACCCCTCCTCCTCCACTCCTGCTATCGCCACACCGCAATTAATTCACCCGCCATTCTCTTCCCGCAATTTCCTCTCCTACATCCTCCGTGCGCTACATGCCATGGATCCCGAAAATGGCCCTCCTGGCGCCTCGCTCGCTGATACACGCTCGCTTAAGGCTACTGTCGAGAACACTTCGGGTGTAGGCTCGTCCTCGTCGGTGCCGCCGCCGTTGGAGCTAGAGCAGGAAGCAAAAGGCCATTTCCCCGGAGAGCCTTCAACGTCAACTCGACTCCACGGCCAACCGTCTCCCGTGAAACCGGCAAGGACCGACACCATGCAGGATGGTCGTGCAAGTACCAGGATTGGCCACTCCACTCGCTCGTCCAGTCGGGCCCGCCGACGATTCAGCGGCAGTACGGCCGCCAGCTCCATTAGTGAGATGGAGTCTACCGGTCCCAAACCCTGGCGACTTGGTGTATGTGCCCTGGATGTCAAGGCCCGCAGCAAGCCCAGCCAGAACATCCTCACTCGCCTCCAATCAAAGGGTGATTTTGAGGTCATCGTGTTTGGTGACAAGGTCATTCTGGACGAGGCCGTGGAGAACTGGCCGGTCTGCGATTTCTTGATTGCCTTCTTCTCCGATGGTTTTCCTCTCGATAAGGCGATTGCGTACGCCAAATTGCGAAAGCCATTCTGTGTCAACGATCTGCCCATGCAAAAAGTGCTGTGGGATCGGCGACTGTGCTTGAAAATCCTCGACCAGATGGGCGTCCCGACCCCCAAGAGGCTGGAGGTGAACCGAGATGGTGGCCCGGTGTTGGAATCGGCGGAGCTTGCTCAGCATATTCACCAATTGACCGGCGTCAGACTGGAGGGCCCGGAAGACGGAACCGGTGGTGGTGCCGCGAGAACTCAGCACGTCTCGATGTCCGAAGATGGCGAGTCCATAGTAGTGGATGGCAAGGTCTTCCGGAAGCCGTTCGTGGAGAAGCCGGTCAATGGCGAGGATCACAACATCCACATTTACTTCCCCAATGACCAACAATATGGAGGTGGAGGCCGGAAGCTGTTCCGCAAAGTCGGGAACAAGAGTTCCGAGTACGACCCGGAGATGACAGTGCCACGATCGGTCACCGAGAAGGGGACCAGCTATCTGTATGAACAGTTCTTGCGAGTCGACAATGCCGAGGATGTCAAAGCATACACGGTTGGGCCCGACTTTTGCCATGCCGAAACGCGCAAGTCTCCCGTAGTCGATGGACTTGTCCGACGCAATACCCATGGAAAAGAGCTGCGGTATATCACCAAACTGAGCAAAGAGGAAGCGGCCATTGCCTCCAAGATCTCGAACGGATTTGGGCAAAGGATCTGCGGCTTCGATATGCTTCGCGTCGGGGACAAGAGCTATGTGATTGACGTCAACGGTTGGAGCTTTGTCAAGGATAATAACGATTACTATGACAAGTGCGCCCATATCCTACGGGAAACCTTCCTGGCGGAGAGACGAAAGGGTGAAGGAGTCCCAGAGCCATCAGATCCACCATCTCCAGATATGGGCCAACCCCGACGCAGTACGGCAGGGTCTCATCGCCAGGCTTTGAAAACTCTGCTCAAGTCGCCAAGTACGTCCAGGCTCTATGGGAGTCAGTCTGTGCCCAAACCTCACGAATCTGCCGCCTCCGACGTGTCTACCGGTGCGCCGTCCATTACGTCTTCTACTGGCTTAGTAGATAGCTTGGATGCGGCAGGCAACTCAATCAACCCGATCTCTCGCGACAATCGCTCAGACACTCGCGGATACAGCCCTTCCAATACCAAATCCCCCGCCGTCTCCATTCATCAAACCGGCGATGGCACGGCTCCTCCGCTCCCAGCTTCTAAGCACTCATGGAAATTAAAGGGAATGGTAGCAGTCATCCGTCATGCTGATCGAACTCCGAAGCAGAAATTCAAGTTCACCTTTCACAGTCAACCTTTCGTCGATCTACTCAAGGGCCACCAAGAGGAAGTCGTGATCAAGGGAGAGGCCGCATTATCCAGTGTTTCCGAAGCCGTGAAGATCGCCATGGAGCAGGGACTGGAGGACATGGAGAAGCTCAAGCTGCTCCGCACTTCCCTGGAAAAGAAAGGAGGTTGGCCGGGCACGAAAGTGCAAATCAAACCAATGTTCCGCAAGCGTAGACCAGAGGAGATGCGAGAGCCAGGCAGAACTACGACGCCCACACCGCCAATCGCTGGCGAAAGCATTCCCGAAGAACCTCTCTCGCCCGTGGCTGGCGAGACGGCGGAAGAGGCCTTGCGCCGGTCCCAGACCCGCAGCGATTCGATTTCTGGCCCCACGTTCTCCCGCTTTTCTGCAGTGGAGAATGACCTGATTCTAGATAAGCTGCAGCTTGTCATCAAGTGGGGAGGAGAGCCCACACATGCGGCGCGATACCAAGCTCAGGATCTTGGCCTGAATATGCGGGATGATCTTAAGCTGATGAACAAGGAAGCGTTGAGTAATGTTAGACTTTTCACAAGCTCCGAGCGAAGAGTGAGCACAAGTGGTAAGTCTATGCGCTTCCCCGTTCCTCGATCTTTCTCCTATGCCTTGAAAATTACCTCGCGGATTACCTGTCTCTCTGTACTGACGACATTCGACTAGCTCAAATCTGGGCGTGCTCGTTCCTCGATCAAAAAGAGATTCCCGAAGACTTTATCCAAGTTCGGAAGGACCTATTGGACGATTCGAACGCTGCGAAAGATGTCATGGACAAAGTCAAGAAGAAGCTCAAGCTTCTGTTGCGGGAGGGTTCTGCACCATCCCAATTCGCGTGGCCCAAGGATAGCAACATTCCCGAGCCTTCCGTCGTGCTTGCTACGGTGGTTGAACTGATGAAGTTCCATCGAAGTGTCATGCGACACAATTTTGAGAAGCTCGAAGCCGCCTCTTTGAAGAATGGTGAAGAAAGGAATCTATCAAATCAGGAAGACTCTTCATCAGAGCAGCCGAGCCTCTCCACCATCCAAGGCCGCTGGTGTGCAGGCGAGGACCCCCGCCTATTCAGAGAGCGTTGGGAGAAGCTCTTTGCCGAGTTCTGTGATACGGAAAAGGTTGATCCCAGCAAGCTGTCCGAACTCTACGATAGCATGAAATTCGACGCCCTTCACAACCGACAGTTCCTGGAGTGGGTCTTCATGCCTCCGGAAATCGACCGTGATGAGGATGACCGGAACAGTGCCAAGGGTAGAAGTTCCTCAAAGTCTGACTCGGCCTCGGACAGTAAAGCTGGATCCGAGCCAGCTAGTGACAAGGCCGAGGAGCGCGGTGACAACCAGACCTTTGCGCATCGCTTCAATTTGAAGAAACGACTTCACGCACTCGAATCGTTGCCTCATCTCCGGGCTCTTGACGATTCCTATGACCATTACTTCAAGCTATTCCCTGGTTCGAGCGCCACCAAGTGCAAGATGGATGAGCGTCTTTCAAAGCTTCGGGAGCTATACAAGCTAGCGAAGGTTCTGTTTGACTACGTCACGCCCCAGGAATACGGCATCACCGACAGCGAGAAGCTGGAGATTGGTCTTCTCACCTCTCTCCCGCTCCTGCAGGAGATTGTGCACGATCTCGAAGAGGTTCAGGCTTCTGACGATGCGAAATCCTTCTTCTATTTCACCAAGGAGTCCCACATCTATACTCTGATGAACTGTATCTTAGAGGGCGGCATCCAGACCAAGATTGCTCGCCGTGCCATTCCAGAGCTTGACTACCTGTCCCAGATTTGCTTCGAGCTCTACGAGTCCCGGGATAGCGAAAACGAGATTAACCCATACTCTTATTCCATTCGGATTTCGATCAGCCCCGGCTGCCACGCTTTCGATCCACTCGATGTGCAGCTCGATTCCCGGCACGCCATCGGCTGTGCTCCGCGACGCAGCCTGACTGCTCACCAAGACTGGAAAGAAGTAATTGAGACCCTGAAAGCGAAATTCGACACGTAAGTAGAGCTTCAGTCTGGGCCTCCATGTCTGTCATCATCATTCTTTCTGACATTTCCGAACAGTGTTGAATTGCCAAAGTCATTTATCGCTGTGAATTTGAGTGATAAGCATACCGCTTCTCCTCCAGCAGAACAGGAAGAATTATAACTTCTACCCATCATTGCTCGGACAATGTGGCTATGATGACAACAGAAGGACCGAACATGAGTTGAGTGTCATTCCTCTTTCTCTGCAAGTATTCTTCGTTACGTTTTTTCGGCCCCACGATGTATCTCTAGGTCATTCTTACTATTGTATGTTTATGCCTTTGTATCAGTTTCTTGTACATTGTGAGCTTTACTTTGCTTGGGTGGGGTTTTGTTATTGCTAAGGTTAGAGGACGGTGGCTTATGTAGAACGCGAGAACAGAGAGTCTAGAAAGAGTCTTCGCAATCAACCATGAGATTTTGCAAGAGCATTCAAGAGTTCCTCCAAAATAATACCTCTTTCATGGGAGCTTCAGCATGTCATAATGTTCATCTTGTTTCCTACGTTGTGGTGGTATTTTGTCATAGTTACATTCGGGAGTCACGCCCAGAATCAGCTTACTGGCGGCCCCTCCCACTAGACCTAAGTCCACCCGCACATACCACCATTTGCGACTTATCTGACTCTCATCCGGACGGCATGGCACCCCTCGAACCGCCAGGCCAGAACATCGAGAGATGCTCTGTTGATGGAGCTGCAAATTCTCTCAACTGGGTCTCTTCGACGGGAACCCATCGCCGGGTTGACTTGAATAATATTGTTGGCGTGGTGCGGAACCCAGACACATCATCGGGGTATCGCGTGCTGTTACTCGAGAGCACCCAAAAGGAAGGTGAACGCAACGAGTCCAACCTCCACCTCTCCAAACTTGATATCACGTCCCTTCCCGAGGGCTTGTCCCCGTTTCTCGTGGACATTCCAACCCACCTTCGACGAAAAGAGCCCGTCCAGGTCGTGGTATCAACTCGGAGTGGCACGGGTACGGCGAAAGCTGTCTTTCAGGACACCGTGGAGCCGTTCCTGCAATACCTGAGACTTGGATATCGAGTCTATGAGACGCAATCAGCCCAGACAATCCTTGAACTTTCCCGATCGCACTTCTTGAAAGACGCCTGCGCGGGAATTCCCCAGACTATCCTCTTACTGTCCGGCGATGGAGGTCTGGTCGACCTGGTCGATGTCTTCTACAAATCGACAAAAACACTTCAAGTGGCTCCAGATATTGGTTTAATTCCATGTGGTACGGGGAATGCTATGGCGAGCTCCCTCGGACTACGGTCAGGTCCAACCTCTGGCCTCCGAGCCTTACTCCGGGGTCAGCCTTCTCCGGTCCCAACTTTCGCCGCCAGCTTTTCCCCTGGGAGCCGGCAGATGCTAGATGAAGGCCGACAGCGTGTTCCGATTGATTCCTATCCGGATGGTCCTTATCAGACAATCTACGGTGCGGTGGTCGCTAGTTGGGGGCTCCACGCCGCACTCGTTGCGGACAGCGATACGGCCGAGTATCGCAAATTTGGGTCAGAGAGGTTCAAAATGGCCGCAAAAGAGCTCCTCCACCCATCGGATGGTACTTCCCCTCATCGCTTCCACGGCCAGATTACGTTGGCCACGTCGGATGTTCAGACGGGGAAGCAGAGTCTGCGACGCCTCACGGAGAGTGAGCATATGTACGTGCTGGCCTCTCTTGTGCCCCGCTTAGAGAAGGATTTCCTAATCTCACCCGACACGGAACCACTGGGTGGGCAGATGAGATTCCTACGATTTGGACCTCTATCGGGGGATGAGGCTATGCGTCTTATGATTTTGGCGTATCAGGGGGGGCAACATGTACATGATGAGCTGGTTACGTATGAAGAGATTGAATGGCTTCGCATCGACTTTCATGAAGACTTGGAACGATGGCGGCGTGTTTGTATTGATGGGAGGATAGTTGCCGTTGACGAAGGGGGTTGGATGGAGATTTCGAAGGAGTCCCGACAGCTTTTGAATATCATCAAGCCTTGCGAGTGATGTGGTGGGTGTGGAGAGATAGATGTACATAGATTCTTGATTCAGTTAGACCGTCCTCTCAGCGTCAGTGGTACATTGGTGTTCGTCTACTCTAATTTTTTTTTTCGTCGTTCACTCTGCTATACGTCTGTACGAATTCCGTATAGAGAGCCAAATAGAGTATACACATATTACCCTGCAGTCGCAAATGTGATAGTTTTAAAATACAGTGAAAGAATATAGTACGAGCTAACTTCCAAGACCATGCCAAGCTAATCAGAACTTGTATGACGGGGTGTCAATGTGAAACTAGAGGCCCCACTGGACCTTTTCTTCCGGATAAAGTAGATCTGCTAGTATAAGAAAAGAAATCCTGCCTAGATTATATCCTTACTTGATCGATACTATCATGGCACCATTGATAGTGCCCCAAATGTTCAGGCACAGCCGGAGAGACCGACCATGGTAAAAAAGGGGAGACGGCGGATGTGATCGTCAGTCCCTCAGGAACCATCTCCCGCTCACATGCTCACACGAACAACCCTCCAACTTCCTTCACGGTCCCTCTCCCCTCATGCACCCTGACAGCCAAACTAAGCCTGCGATTTTCCTCGCCTACTGCTAGGTCATGGAACGATCCGTCGGATCCGATGCTCATAACCCCCCGAACGTATTCCGCATCGCAGACTCCCGACCAAGCAGCGGCTGATAGCCGCACCGAGGGCGCGCCTCGTTTCTATACCCTCGCTGGTTGGCGTCAGAGTCCTGTGGAAGATAATCCAACTGCAGATATGCTGTTGGTTCATCAGACCGGAAGTGTACGAGTAGGGGAGATTATTCGGTACGTCATTTTGCTTCTTCAAACCCGATCCGAGGACACCGCGGAGAGATGGCTGTCACGAGCAGCCTTGCTTGGCCACCATATGGTTGTACAACGAGGCAAAGCTAACAGAACTTTGTTCGCCTTGTTAGATATACCTTTACCTATACCCCTGCAGCCGATCCAATCTTACCCATCCCTTCCGAGCTTCATGTGAGAGTGAAGAATACCTCCGCGATCCCCCTCCGCGCCGCCTATCTTCACGGCCCATACACCTTATATGCTGCCTGCTATCCCTCCACATTCGACCCCAATGCCAAATATGACCATCAGATTACCGAAGGCGTCCCGCAATTCGAGCCGTACCTCAAAGCGGGCGGCAACTGGGACGCGACCATCAAGATGCCGGCGCGCTTCGGGGACTCGCACAATCTGGCCGTGGGACACCTGGAGGCGGAGAGTGATCGGACTTTGACCTGGGTGATTGAAATTGTGTCTCAGGTCATCTTTTCAAGCAGTGCTGCGGTTCATTTCGAGTTGCTGGTTGCTCGTGATGCAAAATCCATCGAATACTTTTCCGCCGGGGGCTCGGCGACCACTGGTCTTGGTCCCCCTGGCAAATTACAGGACCACTGGCCTGTGGGGGGCACAAGGGGGCAATCCGTCATTGCTACGAAGGGCGTATACTCGAAATCCACGTCACTTCGTGTCGACGATACGAGCAGCTTGTGGAATAGCCCGCCACTGCCATCGTGGATTTCTGAAGCGGCAGACACCACACCCCAACGAACGGACTGCATGTCCCAGGACGCTTCACCCGAGGCAACGAGTAGTACGGCCAAGGCGAAGGCAAGGAAGAAAAGAAAGGTTCATCTGGTGGTAATTACCCATGGGTTGCATAGTAATCTGGGTGCAGACATGCTCTACCTGAAGGAAAGCATCGACGCTGCGGCTGCGGCAAAAAAGAAGGCCCGCTTTGAAGATAGCATGAAGAGCGAAGATAGCGCCGAAAACGATGAAAATGACGACGATGACGAAGAAGTTATCGTTCGAGGATTCTCTGGCAACGCCGTTCGCACCGAGAGGGGCATTCAGTATCTCGGCAAGCGTCTTGCCAAGTATGTTCTATTGATGACATACCCAGATCAGCCGTACTATCCTCTGAAAACCGGCAAAGCAAAGTCCTTCCCTCGCCCTTTCAGTCCTCGCAAAGAACAGGCTCAACCCTCTCACGAGCCCCTGTCAACCTCGGCGAATCACGAGAATGCCACAGACGGCGATGACCATGCCTACCAAATCACTAGCATCAGCTTCATCGGGCATTCCCTTGGCGGTCTGATCCAAACGTATGCCATCGCATACATACAAAAGCATTCTCCGGAGTTTTTCGACCGAATTCAACCAGTCAATTTCATTGCCCTCGCGTCTCCTTTCCTGGGCCTCAGTAATGAGAATCCCCTGTACGTGCGGTTTGCCCTAGATCTAGGCTTGGTCGGACGGACAGGGCAAGATCTTGGACTGAGCTGGACATCACCAAAAGTCCGCACTGGCTGGGGTGCTATCATTGGCGGCCGAGGAGACTCGGCCAAGGACCAAAGCCATCCAGACCCCGGTTCAAAACCGCTACTGCGGATCTTACCCTGTGGCCCAGCACACGAGGTGCTTCGAAAGTTCCATCATCGAACTGTGTACTCCAATGTGGTTAACGATGGGATTGTTCCCCTTCGCACGTCGTGTCTTCTTTTCCTTGATTGGCGAGGTTTGGACCGAGTCGAGAAAGCGAGAAGAGACAACGGTATCGTCGGCAAAATGGCTGAATGGGGCTGGGCTGAATTGACAGGTGCTAATTCCAAGTCTCCACGACTGGCTCGCCCTGATGAAGTTCCACGCTTGGGCGAAGGTCAGGATGGACCCAAGGACGGATCTGCCGGTCTCACGGAGGAAGCACAGCGCTTGCAAGAGGAGGAAGACCTTACACGCACTGAAGAGACATCCTCACCAGCCCCGGAGCAATTCATTGCTAGGCGAAAGTCCTCTCTACATGCCAGTAGCGTGGGAACGGAGTCAGGACATAAAGATGGCTCAGACAATAACTCGGGCCCTTTGAGCACCCTCCTCGCCTTCTTCCGCCCCAAGGAGCCAAAGCAACACCATCCCAGTGGCAAGCATGCTAAAATCTACAAGCGCAGCCAAACCATCGCCTCGTTCGACCCCAACGAGTCACCCGCACCGACGGTTCGTGGGAATTCTCTGTATGAAGAGGACATGGGAGTCAATACACCTCCCAAGACCACTTTTTTCGAGTCAGCTGGAGATTTGTTGATGCCACCGTTACCCCCTACTGACTTCATTTTGGATCCTGCTGCCCGGCCTCGAACCATCTTCCATGATCGTATCTATCACCCAGAAGATATTCCGGCTCCATTGCCAGTCAAGCGACGGACCTTGACATTCGCCTCATTACAACCCAAGCATGCAAAGACTGCGCCTCCCCAAGCAACACAATTACCTTCCAGTTCAACCTCCAATGCCAAGATCAGCGAAAGTGGGCTTAAGGTCGAGGAGAAAATCGCTAGAGCGTACCACCGCGATCTGACATGGCGCAAGGTCCTTGTTCGCCTCGAGCCCGACGCACATAATAACATCATCGTTCGTCGCATGTTCACCAACGCCTATGGATGGCCGGTCGTCAAGCACCTCGTTGACACACACTTTGGCCATTCCCCCAATGTTGAGGTCGATGATACCTTAAAATACACTGGCGAGCGGGCCAAGGCGTTGAATGTTGGACCTACCAGCTCCGGCGACGAAGTGGAAGGCCAGTCTGATACCGCCGATGGGGCTTCGACCGCCGAGCACGAACGTGCCGGACCAGATCACACACATGGGCCTGCCGTGAGCCCTTCTTGCTCGGAAGGATCCCTCCAGCTACATGACCTAGCTGATGCATTACCCGTTGAGAGTGAACCCCATGAGACGGCGAGCACCCATACCCGATCCCAGTCTCACTATACCGATGTTTCTCGACAGGATTCGGCGCGTTGGACGGATCGTCAGGTAGATGAAGATGACGATCGTGAATCCGGATTGGACGTGGAAGGGCATACCGAGTTTCGATGGTCTCCAGCTCCACACTCTCCTGCTTGAACGATCCACTTGGAAATACTTGCAACCATCGGAATTGTACATAATCATTCACCTTCCTGAATACCCTGTAATTAATCTACTTCTATTTTGATTTGACCTTCTCTATCCAGGTCAGTCTCCATATCCTTTTACAGATTCTCCATCGGCATCAAAAAAGTCTTGTTAATACTCCAATCTGCCTTGGACAAAGCTCCAGAACTCCTCTACCAGCTCCTTCTGGCCAGCTTGCGGTGCTCCTCGTATAGCCAAGTATTTCCGACCATCCAGAGTGGTCTCCCAACCTCCAGGGTTACCATCCACCATCATACCTCCCGCCTCGGTCAAGATCACCCAGGCCGCACAAACATCCCACGCCCAGCACCCACCTTCCCAGTAAAGATCCATCGTACCCTCCGCCACGGCACACGTATTAAGCGCCGCAGACCCCAGACTCCGGAACGAGCGAACCATTGCACCACCATCCTCCTTTGACTGACCCAGCTTCTCAAAAGTGCGCACCTTTGTCTCCCAATTAGGTCCAGTACGGTCTGAGCCCCATTCAATGCTAACCAGCGCATTGGGAAGCCCGGACAGAGGCTCGACGTTGTCACCCTTCAGGGGTAGACGAGTCTCCTGGTTGCGGAACGCACCCTGGCCTTGAATGGCCGACCACAGGGTTTTGGTAAAGGGGTTGTAGACTACGCCTACAGTAGGGACTCGGCCAATGGCGAAACCGAGTGACACGCAGGCATAGGGGAAACTATGCACAAAGTTGACCGTGCCGTCGATCGGGTCCACGACGAAGGTCGGAGCATCCGTTATGGGACTCGCAGGGTCGTAGGTTTCTTCGCCGTGGAATCTGGAAGGGAGAGAGGGGTTAGGATCACAATTGGAAGTGGTTGTGGTCTGAATGCTCTCAAGTGTATTCAGTCTAGCAGGTATGGGTTTGATGGAGGGGGCGTACTCGTAATCGGGGTATTTATCTTTCAATGATGTCGAGATCATGTTCTCGACGGCGCGGTCATATTCGGTGACTAGATCGGCACCTAAAAGTAAAAATAAAAATCAGTACTTAGCAACTATATCCTGGTAATTGGTGGACTCTTTCTCATCGCCATTGGAAGTCCGAATTGAACGTACTGTTCTTCTTCGAGTCAGTGCCGCTATTGTCTGGGAGGGCATTGGTGATGATGTCTCCAGCCTTGAAGGCCAATGAGACTAGAAAGTCATGAATCTCTTTCAGATTGGGAGTTGACATGGTGGGCAATGAGATGCTGAGAGTCGAGAGGTCGAGGAAAGGAGGAGAGCGAAAGCCCCGCGGACCTGCGGCCCGAGGAGGCCCCTCACTGCGACAGCCAATGCGGGGTGTGTACGCGACTGGCAGCTTCGTGAATTTCTCGATATGAGTAATTGTTTGGAGATAATAGAAATGGCTTGGAAGCGCTGTACTCTTTGCGATCGGATAAACTTGATTTATAATTCTATGTGTTGCTGACTACTAAAACTATGAGATTCTATAGTCCTCCGTTGTATATTCCGCCGGCCAGTCAGTGACGTCGCCCCCCACTCCGCCGAAAAAAAAAGTTTCGTGCGATGAACTCCGTCAATACTACTCTCAACATATCCACCCTTCACGATGCCGACAGAACTAGAAGATGTATTGCCTATATCCCTATATCACTAAAACTATGGAAATCACACACTGACCTTCTCCCTAGCTGGTGGAGTTCCTTCACCACGGCAATACGCAAATTCGACAGATTGGTAAGACACCCCGCCAGCGCCTCGAAATTCCAACTCCCATGTCCAAACCCTCCACAATTCAATATCGCATCGACCTATGTCTGACCCATATATCCTCCACCAGCCTGTGAGAACCTTGTTGGATTCTCTACGGCCCAACCGAGTCTCTTCAAGGGGCAGAAATTACAACCCGTGCGCGACCTGAAGCTGCTGGCCTTAGACTACACTGTGCGTGCGACCCTTCTCGACTGCGTGGAACAAGAAGATTGACATAGACTCGGTGTTTTCAGCCCATTGCAAAGAATGCCTTGACGATTCTTATCAACCTCTCTAGTGACGAGGAGATCCTGGAGTTGGTGGCCAGCGATGACAAGTTCCTTGAGATCTTGTTGAGGAAGCTCATGGTAAGTACTTTCTTGTGTGACACTAGCCTACGGGTCCTTGAAAACTAAATTTACATCGTATTGTCTCAGAATGTCAAGGAGCCCAACGCTGATGAGTTTGCCATGTTGCTGGCCAACCTCGTCAAATCCGACCACCTCAAGAAACTCCACACGATGAAGCGCGAAGCCCCGGCGGCGGTTTCCACATCTGAGAATGCCATTGACCAGCTGATGGATTGCTTCGTGAAGGGTGCCGAGGGTGGTCTCAACAAGCACGCCAACTTCGACTACCTATCCTACCTCTTCGCCGATCTGTCCCAATCCGAGCAGGGGAGAGCATACTTCACGACGCGGCAAGAGTACGATGGAGTGGTCCCGATCACTAAGCTGACCGTCTTCACGGAACACAAGAGCGACATTCGACGCAAGGGTGTGGCCTCGACCATCAAGAATGTGGCCTTTGACGTAGCTTCGCACCCTATGCTTTTCGGCGAGGACGAGGCCAACCTGCTGCCCTATCTGCTGCTTCCGATCGCAGGACCCGAAGAATTCCCGGATGACGAGATGATGTCGATGCTGCCAGATCTGCAGCTCCTGCCCCCAGATAAGAAGCGTGAGAGTGACAACACTATCATTACCACCCATCTAGAGACTCTGCTCCTCCTGACTACGACTCGGGAAGGCCGAGAAAAGATCCGCGCTGCGCAAGTGTACCCCTTCGTTCGGGAATGCCACCTCCACGTGGAGGACGAGGAGGTGCGTGAGGCTTGTGACCGGCTGGTGCAAGTGATTATGCGAGACGAGGAAGGCGAGGGAGAACAGACCGATGCCGAATTGGCCAAGGCTCAAAAGGAGATCGAGGAAGCTCCTCCAGCGCAACCTGCGCAGGATGAGGACGAGAAGGTGGTGGAGCTGTTCTAAGCGTGTTGATTGATGACCATTATATATTGTATATCCTGATAGACTTCTGAGATCTAGAATCCACTGATCATATACTATGGCTTTGCTGTCGTCATATATTCAAGAAGATTCACCAAGGGCGAGGAGGGCGAGGCTATTGCGACCCTCTGGATTGCCCGCTCGCACATCTTGAGGCATTACTTGCATAATATCCCATAGTAGCCATCTAGCCACCACCATCTAATTTGCGTACTACTCTAAAGCGGAGGTTAAAGGTAAGTTCAGAATCCTGACTAAATGCCAAAATCATTTTACAAGTCATGATTCTCAAAGATAGTCACCTTCTTACGGAGTAGATCGAGAGATATTAGGTGGGCTATCCGGAAAAATGTCTCCAAAAGAAGCTCGTCCTCCTCATGACGGACTTAGCAAAATATAGTCGTCCCAGGGGATGGTAGCAGATTTACCATTAAAGATTGATTATAGATATAATCCAGATACTCCCATACTTCTGTCAACGGTCACTTGGCGAAATGGATTCGTCGCATGTGGGGCTTCTCCACCGCAAGGCACCACTCAACGCCTCCAATTCCTTGAGATCAACCTGACAAGAACTGTCCAAAGCTCCGCCAACCTCGCTAGACTCGCCTACGAGCAAGACCACTGCACGCTCTAACCCCAAAGAAGCTAAAATTTTACCATTGGGCACCTCCCCTCCCCCACCATCACGACGGCAGCCATCCCACTACAAACGCGCCAGCGGACTTGTCCCCCGAACCCGAGGGGACAAGAGCTTGGCCATCTCCCCGCCGGATCGGACCGAGTCGACGATTCCGACTCCGACGTCTCCCACGAGGAAGACGACGACACTGGAGCACCCACGGACACAGAGCAGAACCCTCACAGACCCAACGATGGAAGTAGCGACCCGGACGAGCCCCTCGAGTTAACCCCGCCCGACGATTCGAAGTCGCTCGCTCAACGCTTCCGGGTTTTCATGTCGGGTGCCCCTCTTCTCCGGACGTCGCCCGCACTGGGCTCGTCATCATACGGAGCTGTGCGTGTCCCACAAGACGAGTCCGACGACGACGATGTTGACCCTGCTGCTCGACAAGATAAACCTGCCCCGGAGTGGTCTCCCGGCAGGCTGCAGCGAGCTAGCTTCGAGAGCTGTGCCGAAGGCTCTTCGAGCGATGCACTCCACCGTCGACGATTATCCAAGTCCAAACAATCACATTCTTCTGGTCGGCGGAGGAGCAGTACTCTGTACATGGATGGACACAAGCGGCGACCCTCGGCGGCCACCTCTGACGTAGGAATGGGCGCCGATTCCAAGTTCTCGTTCGCAACGGGACTTGCGGTGCCTGGGAATCCAGTGATGCAGGAGACCCCAGCATCCTCGCCGTATATGACAACTGACGATGAGGATGTGTTGGATATTGATGACGAAGATGCGAAGCCTTTCGATGAGGATCCCCCGGACAATTCGCCGTACGTTCTGTTCTAAATCGGTCCAAGTCCACAGATCGACCCCGCGTTTTGCCATTGAGATCCCGAATGGTTATTGACAAGAAAATCACAGATATGCTCAAGTGCGGGCGACTGTCCCGGCGACAGACGACATAACGCTCTCTATCAATAGTAAGTCATCTCCAACCCCGCTGGTTCATTTCCGAGCTTCACTCTACCCTGCTCGGTGAAACCTTGTCTGACATTTGTACTCATATAGCCCCTCGCATGTGGATTCTTGCATTACTTTTCTCACTGACTGGTTCGGCCGCCAATCTTTTTTTCTCCCTCCGCTACCCGAGCGTCGCCATCACTCCAATTATTGCATTGGTTTTGGTCCACCCTTTGGGCAAGTTCTGGGATGTCCTGTTTAAAAGGACGAATGACCCCATCGAAGTTTTCGAAAATGGAACGCTCGACCATCGAGAATCACGAACGGACGATCTTGATGCTCCAGGTCCGTCTTTGCTTACGCGCATCCGACTTTGGCTTGGCCAAGGACATTGGAACGAGAAGGAACACGCATGTGTCTATATCAGCAGCAACGTCTCCTTTGGATTTGCGTTTGCTACTGATGTTGGTATCCCGCCTATCTCTTTACCAGGTCCAATCTAACAATAGTTTCTTACCAGGTCATCGTCGAGCAACACAAGTTTTATCAGCAGGAAGTTCCAATCTTGTATCAGTTGCTGCTCATTATTTCCACCCAAGTCTTGGGCTATGCATTTGCCGGCTTAACTAGACGCTTCCTGGTTCGGCCTTCGGCCATGATTTGGCCAGGGACTCTCATGTCCACTGCCATGTTTTCCACCATGCACAAGTCCGCCAATAAGAAGGCCAACGGATGGAGCATCTCCCGATACAAATTCTTCATTCTTGTATGGGCTGGCGCCTTTGTCTGGTACTTTGTACCGGGCTTGCTGATGCCAGCCCTCAGCTACTTTAATGTGGTGACCTGGTTCGCTCCCAAGAATGTGGTTGTGTCGAATCTTGTACGTTGCCAGTTCCTTGGTTTTGGATGGACCTTTTGCTGACCGCTGTAGTTTGGTGTTGCGTCGGGTCTTGGGATGTTGCCTTTGACTTTTGACTGGGCTCAAATCGCATATATCGGGTCCCCCTTGCTCACGCCATGGTGGGCAGCAGCCAATATTGCCACCGGCCTGGTGGTGGTTATCTGGATCGTTGCCCCGATCTTGTGTAAGTCTTGAGACGCCCTTCCCCAACAGCCAGCCCGATAAATGACTGACCATATGTCAACCCAGATTATAAAAATGTGCTTTTCTCCTCTTACATGCCCATCCTATCTGCGGCAGTTTTTGACAACACAGGCCACCCATACGACGTGAGCCGAATCTTGACGTCGGACTTTCTTTTCGACCAAAAGGCGTACGAAGAATATTCGCCAGTTTATCTTCCCATCACCTATGTCTTATCATATGGTGTTCAATTTGCCGCTCTGACCTCCCTGGTTACCCACACCATCTGCTGGTATGGTAAGGATATCTTGCACCAGACTCGCAAGGCCTTCGAGGAGCGTAGGGATGTACCAGACTTTGAGACCTACCAGCCTCTGCGAACAGAAAACGGGCATACTTCTCCACCGCGACACCCTCGTGAGACATCAAGAGTTAGTTCTCACGATCCGAGTCGGGAGCTGCCTCTGGGAATGGAGGATGTGCATTGCCGTCTCATGAGGCGCTATAAGGACGCTCCTTTGACCTGGTACCTGATCGTGCTCATTACGATGCTGGTCATCGCCACCTACACTGTAGAGCAGTACGTTTAATCCCTCCTCATTGCCCCGAATTCCTGGCTAATACTAACTCTTGTTTTTCTTGTCTCAAAGCTACCCGGTCCACTTACCCTGGTATGGCCTCTTCCTGGCACTGCTCATTACCAGCGTGTTCTTCATTCCCGTCGGCATCATCATGGCTGTAACCAACCAACACAGCAGCCTCTATCTGATCTGCCAGCTCTTGTGTGGCATTGTCTTCCCTGGACGGCCAGTGGCGAACATGATCTTCGTAACTTACTCTTACATCAGTTCAGCGCAGGGCATCAAGTTCTCATCAGATCTCAAGCTCGGGCACTACATGAAAATCCCGCCCCGCATCCTTTTTGGTGTGCAGATGGTGGCGACTTTGGTATCTAGCTTGACACAGATTGGTGTTCTGAACTGGATGTTCTCCTACGTCCCCGGTCTTTGCACCCCGCAGGCTTTGAACGGCTTTAACTGTCCTATTGCGCGCGTCCATTTCAACGGCAGTATCCTCTGGGGTGTTGTTGGACCCCAGAGGTTCTTTGGTCCAGGTGGTCTCTATCGACCTCTGGTGTGGGCGTTCCTGATTGGTGCCGCAGCACCCATCGCGGCTTGGATCTTAGGCCGTCGCAGCAAGAAAAATTTCTGGCGGAAGGTCAATTTCCCCATTCTCTTCGGTAGCCTCAGCTGGATCCCTCCTGCGACGGGGCTGAACTTTTCTGTCTGGGCGCTGGTATGTTTCGTGTTCAACTACGTGATCCGCCGACGCAGGACGGCCTGGTGGGAGAAGTACGCCATGACGCTCTCGGCAGCCTTGGACTCGGGGCTGGCATTTGCCGTGCTGGTTGTCTTCTTTTTCCTCATTTATCCTGGCTGGGTGGATGGGTTCAAATGGTGGGGAACGGAGATCTATAAACAGGGATGCGACTGGATTGCATGCCCGTACAAGCGTTTGGAACCTGGGCAGAAGTTTGGTGAATGAGAATTTCCTGGCCTAAGGTGAGGACTAGATACGCTATTTTTGTATAAAGTGTATAACCCAATGATATATGAAAGTAACGAATTCAGTTTTCTTTGATTGCAAGGTGAAAGTATAAAAGAATAATGAGAGTATACGTCTGTCGTGGCGATAACCTTGCGAAAGGATGAGGGCAGCTCCACTAGGTAGTGCTTACCTAAGCGTGTCATCACTGCCCGTGACCTCCAACTCCGACTCCAGCTCCCCCAGATCTCTCGTCTTCTTTCATCCTGTTGACCCAGTCCCCATCTTACCTTCCCCGGTGGATGTGCTGCAATATCACTTTCTTGACCTGAGAAGACGCGCCCTCACGCTCTCATCTCCGAGAAAATGTCAACTCCAACCAACACCTCCAACGGCCCCATGCCAACGGGGACCAACGGGGCTCCTCCCCCTCCGATGCGGATTCGCCGCGCCCGGAACGCAGGCGACCCTCTCGTTCGCCCAAAGAGAAGACCTGCGAGGCCGCTGGGAGCTGCTCCCGGCGCAAATACGGCAATCAAAACCCTGCCCGCACGTCCTTCGGTCACTGGCACCCCGTCCCTACCACAGCCTCCCAAGCCTCGACCAGCTCTCGTCCCGGATTTACGCTCGGTCAACGGGTTCAGCGGGCCTTTGTTATCTCAGAAATATGTTGACTACCCGCTCGTTACTACGAGAAAGGCTTTGCGCGAAGGGTTGAAACATCACGTTGCCCGGTTTTCTTCCAAACGAACTATCGACCCGCGTGACGAATCACAGTTTACGCGACCCGTCAGACTTCATCGCCGAGATCCGCGCGCCCGAGCCCATGATTCGCATGGAGAGAAGATGGTCGGACCCGACGGTCAACAGCTGGACGAGGCTGAGCGGGAGGCCTTGGATGCTCGAAGAGCCGCGCGCGATAAGGAGCGCGCAGAAAATATGGCGCAGATTGCGCCCTCGGTCGGGTCGACTGCAAAGCGACCGAATGCTCCCAAACAGAAAACACAACAAGTCTTCAAGTCAGACATGACTAAAGAGGAGATTGCTAGAGCTCGCATCAAGTATGAGGAGGCTCTACCGTGGCACCTGGAGGATTTTGATAACCGCAATGTCTGGGTGGGCAACTATGAAGCAGCCTTATCGGAGACCCATGCAGTCTTTGTCCTTGAGAACAACAAGATGCGCATGATCCCTGCCGAAAAGTGGTACAAATTCAGCGCCAAGCAGCAATTCAAGGCCTTGACCATCGAGGAGGCAGAGAAGCACATGTCTAAGCGCATGAAGGACCCTCGGTGGTTTATGGAAAAGCAGAAGGAAATCGAGATGAAGAAAGAACTAGATCAATTTGCCAGACAGCACAAAGTCTATGCCGGCAAGCAAGGTGGTGCGAGTGGTAGAGAAGGCTTGGAGGCCAGCGAAATGGACTTTGAAGAGGACCGATTCGCTGACGACGAAGAACATGCCGATCTGTTCAATGACGAACAAGACGAAGATACCAAGGCAGCTGAGCAGCGTATCAAGGAGGATCAATTGAAGGCGAACGTCTTCGATCTCAAGGAAGAGAAGGACTACGAAGAGGAGGAGGAGCGCGAGAAAAAGGAACGTGAAGCGCGCCGAACCTTTGGCAAGAAGGTCCGCAAGGCTCTCAAGAAACGAGAGAGGAACTACGAGTACAGCAGTGGCTCCGATGCCAATCCATACACTGATGAAGAGGTGCGATTTTTCTTTTCTATTGAGTTTATCACTTAGACAAGATACTGATTTGATTGCATGCAGAGCTCTGACGACAGCGAGGTCGAACGCCAAAAGGAAGAAGAAAAGCGCAAGGCCGAGGAGGAAAGAGTCCAGAGAGAGAAGGACTCGGCCACATCTACCAAGGGCAGCAATACGCCCTCGGGTCGTCCTAAGCACACCGATGCTTTGAAGAAGCCCGCACCTGGCTCTCGCAAGCGCCTGGGATCACCGGGCTCGGATGCAAGCGGTACCGACACCTCTCGAAAGAAGGCGAAGAACAAGCATCAGCCCACCTCGCGCCCGATGTCCCCATCTGCAGCACATGTGAGTAACACTACATTCCTCCTTGAAGGTCTGATTGCCGAGACGAATGCTAATTGACATACAGGCCGGTAAGAAACGCATTCGAAACCTCCCACTTGGCGGCTCTGGATCCGGAAGCGATGTCGACATCGGCGCTGGATCTGGAGGCGAGCTGAGTGAAAGCGGCAAGACCAAGAAACTAAGACTAAATCCCCCCTCAGCCACCTCACGCAGTGGCACTCCCCAGGGATCCCGAGCTGCAAGCCCCGTCGCTGGCAACCAGTTCCCCGGTAGCCGAGCCGCAAGCCCCGATGGACCAAGAGGCAAGTCTCCCCGTGATTGATTCAGATTGGACCTCTACACGCATAGTATGGTGCATGACTGACTAACTACTTATTAACCAACAACAGGCGCCGGTCGCTCCACTCCCATCCCATCCGGACAACCATTCCCCACGCCCGCCGAGATTCACGCCGCGATCCCCGCCACTGGCATTACCAGTTCCGACCTTCTACGTATTTTCCGCCCCCGCATTGGCGAGTCCAAGGAGAACCATCGCCGTTTTATTGCCATCGTCAAGGACGTCGGTTTGTATGGAAAGGAGGACAGGCTGCTACGACCTGGTACCTGGAGGCCAACCTAAGCTGGGGATGTTTTGGTAATAACCATGATTGAAAAGGAGTCATGGGCTCCTTTCTTTTGGCGGGAGTTGAATTGATTTGTATGATAATACGTTTAGGGGAGCGTGACAATGGATTTGAGAAGGGGGATTTTGAATGATACTCGTATGCTTGGTGAAATATACCTTGTTTTGTTGAAGTAGTACACAGAGCTTCTATGATGATGATCGTGGCCCTCAAAGAGGGTCATATGAGGATAGTAAGATGTTGTACAAGAATGCTCTACAGTATGACTAGTCGACTAGTCTTGATTCGTACGTGGTCCTCGAATCATCCCTAGCAAACACAATTGGAGAAAAGCTCCTGAAGAGAATAAGCTAATGAGAACTTTCAATTCTGGCATTATAGCCCAGGCTAGAAAAACACTCTACTGAACCCAAGAAACATTCTATAAAACCGATTGACATAGAACTAATAAGAGAGATGTAACAAAACCAACGAAAAAAAAAACATATACATGCAACAGCATTCAACAGCGCCAAAGTTTAAGACATGTCACATCACACGACCCACGAAGCAGGTCGTTCTATCAGACAAAAAGAAAGAGAACACATTATCACAGTGGGGAATCACATCACAACACATCACAAGAGAGACCGGATGACCACATCTAAGCGCGGGCAGCGTTCTCAGTACCCTCCTCGTACTTCTCCCAGTTGGCCAGGATAGCGGCGATACGAGGAGAGTTGGTGAGGCGGTAGACATCCTCAAAGTACTCCTTGGAGATCTCGAAGGGACGGGCAGTGACGTTGGGGATGTACTTGCCAATCAGCTTGGAGGGGTCGATGGTAGTCTTGTTGATCTTCTTGAGCAGGAAGGAGCGGAAGGGCTTGACACCGGACCGCAGGAAAGTGCTGTGGAAGGGGACGTCGATGCCCTTGAGAGGGATGGTGGCGAAGCCACGTTCCAGCTGGATGGGCTTGGGCTTGGCCTCGGTCTGCTTGACGCACTCCTGGATGATGCTGACCAGGTGAGCCTTGAGGTCCTCGAGCGACATGCTCTGCATCAGAGCGGGGATGTCGATGTTCTGGGCCTTGAGGAAGTTCAGGAGGTTGGTAAGGCAGTCGAGGGCGCGGAGCTAGAAAGAGTTCATGTTAGTATATATCGAAGACAGGGGGATAAAGTTTCGAGTTAAAAACTTACATCACCAGCAGCCACGTACTGCATGTTGGCAACGTTGTAGTTGACAATCTCCAGAAGCCAGCCAGTCTGCTCGGCGATGACCTCGACGACGTATTGCAAGGCCTGCTCGTTGAAGGTCTTGGAGATACGGCTGGGGTTGACAGCGCACATAGAGTAGTTGGAGCGACCCTGCTCGTCACGCTCGACGGCAACCTGCATGGTCAGGCCACGGTAGAACACGACTGAGACCAAGCTTTCAATGGGCATGACGTCGGCCAGGGCAGCCAGGGCCGAGTATTCACCCAGGGAGTGACCGGCGAAGCTGCTGTCACGCTGAACCAGACCCTTGGAGCGCATGTCCTCGAAGCTGGCCTTCTCCATGAGGGTGAGGGCGGGCTGGGTGAACTGGGTAGCGGATAGTAGACCGGTGGGCGAGCGGTAGGTGTAAGAGGCAGTGTCCTCATCAACCTCCTTGAAAATCTTCTCAGACTTGATGGAGCCGTCCGCGTTCACAGACTCGAAGGTCATCGCCATGTAGTTCTGGCGGATGGCCCGGCCACGAGGACCACCGAAGTAGACGGTGAGCTCCTTGAGGTTGTTCTTGACGATGTCAATGATGGACAGGCCATAGTTCTCCATGAAGTGGCGATCGGCACGGTCCCAGACCTCCTTGGCCACGGGGCTGCTAGCGTAGAGCTCCATGCCCATGCCCTGCTCCTGAGAACCCTGACCAGTGAAGACGTAGGAGGTAACGGGCTGCTCAACTTCAGCCTCACCGACGAGGACCTTCTCCTCGGTCTCCTTGTTGCTGGCCTCGACCTGAATGATCTTGCGACCAGCAATCATACCGACGTGCTGCAACTTCACGGTGACCATGTCATTGGGCAGAACCATGCCGACAAGGGAGGCGTGGAAGCCACGGACACGGCCAATGTTGTTCTCAGCGGCCCAGGTCTCAACGAGGGAACGGACGGCAGCACTGCTGTACATGCCGTGGGTGATGGTGCCGGGCAGGTTGGCGTAGCTGGAGAAGACACGAGAGACGTGAATGGGGTTGTAGTCACCAGAGACACGGGCGTAGGTCTCGTTGGAGGCTGGGGCACGCAGCTCCAGGGCAGTCTTGCCACTAAGAGGGATAGGGTTCTCGAAGTAGACGGGCTGCTCGATGGAGGTACCGTTACGCTCAAGGTAGTCAATCACGGGGTTACCGTGAGAGACACCAGCCTCGTAGTCGACGGAGGCAACCTGGATGACCTCCTTGGTGG